CCCCCCCCCCTTCCCTCTCCTCCCCAAAGCCCTCCTCTTCTCATTCTCGTCCTACTCTACCCAAACGACAAGACGGGATGCAATCAAGCCAGAGCGAAGCAGAGCACAACATTGCAGAAATGTGAGGCCTAGACAAGGAAGCTGAATTTGATCTCTGCAGTGAACTTGAAAGGCCGACCTCTGAACAAGCCAAAGATAGCCACATCCAAACAGAAAGGGATCCACAGGAAGAAGCATGGAAGTGCAGACAGACGACAAAACGGGCTATTGGCCAGCAGGAACAGACACAACACACAGAGGGGGCTGCGAACAACTGGAAGAAGTCTGAGGGTAATGGGGATACTGGGCTGTAAGGAGACCTAGGATCAGGAAGAACAACAGACAACCTCTAGGTGCTGGCTGGGCCAGATGAGGACGAGTCCCAGAATGGAAGGGTTGATTAGCAACTCCACGAGTTAGAGGGAGCTCTTGAAAAGAAGCGTAGATGGCCACAACCCTGACATTGTATCCAATTGTTGCTATAAGGGACGTTGGACCCGGTTTCCAGCAGGTGACGCTCCCCACCAATAGGTGGAGCAACCCAACGCCCAAAGCCTCAATCTTGGTGGTTCTCTTACCACCGCTGGGATATAGGCCTTGCAAGTGGGTTTAAAAAAAAAAAAAAAAAAAAAACTTGCCTGCTTGATAGCATAAGGTAGGTGACTGTGAACTCAGATCTCATGAGTCGCCTTTTAGCTAGAAGCTGACAAAAGCGTAGTGTATGTGGTTCTTGTGTAGCCGGTATGACAACCTGAGTAACTTCCCACTTTGTTGCATACAATCACAATTCAACATCCCTCCGTCATCAACCCCCTCCCTACCTGAAGCCTAAACTAACTTGTGGATAACCCATGCACATCGTCCCACTTCTACTTGCGAAGAGGTTCATGCAAGCTTGGCTACCCAAATGCTTCTCCATCCTACAAATGATGGCTCAAGCTCTTGCAAGTAAGGGAGACAGGGGATGCCACATAGAAATATGGGACGCTGGACCCGTTTCCAGTACTGTGACTGCTGATCACCTCAGATTCATGACTATGTTCTCAAACTTGCAAAGGATGTGTTCTGGACTGTATGGATAGCCCATGGCTAGGCTGGGTTCGGAGAGGAATCATACGTATTAAGGATCTTTGGAATCAAGAAACAACGGATTGGTTTTCTCCCCTAGACCTTCAAGAACGACTGCGCTATAGTCATCATCAGAGGACTGCATTGGATAATATCATTGAATTGATTCCTTTGGACTGGGTTAGAATCTTAAAGAAGGGTCCCAAGTTTCTTCCCGGTGACTGGGTGGCAATCCGATGTTCTAAGGGGATTGTGGGGAATATAATTGAAATCCGTAATTCATTGGATATGCTAATATCTATTCTGGATTTACAAGAGGATGGTTTTCTTGCTCTTAGGTCTCAAGATGACACCAGGTGGTGTACGGCTGACCAACTTTTTCGAGTGAGAGTTTTAAATGTCAATGATAAATGACTTTCCTTTAAACTTGAAATACCAATATCCCATCTACCCTTTGATCCTATAAATTGGACCTGGTCTTGCCCAAGTAGACAGGGTTGCTCCTATTCTAGATCCTTACATACCCTGTCTGTGAAGTCCACTTACAGAATGCTTCGCCCCAGGGTTAATCTTAGAGATCTCATTGAAGATCGCTGGATGAAGAATCTGGAAATCAATAAGGAAGAGCTAAGAGGCGTTAAGTGGTTTCATACCTGTAAATCTAAACCTGCTAAGGTAGCCTCTTTACAATGGCAAATTTCTCACCGCTGCCTTCCTACTAATGACTGGATCGTTGACAGAACTTCGTTAGAACAGAAAGATATTGCTCTTCCTTGGTGTAAGTTCTGCAAATCTGCCTTTCCGTCCAAGCTTTTTCCAGAAACAATACAACATATTTTTCTCCAATGCCCAGGTTCAGTTTGGCTTTGGCGATGGTAGGACAGGATTTGGAGCCAGTTGGGAACCACCGTCCCGTGGCTGTGGGATTGGAAAACCCTTCTCCTAGAATTATGACATCCTGGTCAAGAGGATGAGTTCACTGATAATTTGTTTACAATTGGTAGGAGAGCAATTATTTGGGCAATATGGGTTAGAAGGTGTACCCATGAAATGGAAGGTGCTAGATTGGACGGTCCAGATTTCACTGATTCTATTAAACAACATATTCAGACTGATATATCTATTAAATGGGAAAACTTAAAAGAAAAAATCCAGCATGTTTCTCAACAAAATGAGATATGACAACACATCAAAAAGTTCAATAAAAGTTGGCTTGGGGGGGACCAGGGAGGGAGGTTGGGGAGGGTGTTGTGGGAAGGAGCTCATGAGAGTTCACATGGTTGTTTTCAAAAGAATTATAGACTAGTTTTTAATGATTGGAGTTGTGTTGATCCCTCTATTCCCCTAAGACCCTTATCTGACTTCCCTGATCCCTTTCCCCTACCAGGATCCTGTTTGGTCCCCTCATCATCGTATTGATAATCCTGTCAAAGTATTTCGGTATGTGCTAGGTAGTCACGAATTTCTGGCGCCCAGGGCGGGTGAAGAGGCACAAAAGGTCTAGTTTCAGTTTCTTTTATCAGGTTCATTCTTCAGATCTCTTGTGGGACGCTGTACCCGGTTTGCAGTCATGACTCATTTGTTATCATTGTATCAAAAGGGGCGCTGGACCTGTTTTCCCAGCAGGTGCTGCTCCCCACCAATAGATTGGAGCCGAGCCAAAAAAAAAAAAAAAAAAAAAAAAAAGCGCCGCTAAGGCTACTCGTTATCAGCATCATCATTATCATTACGTCAGTATCATCGTCATCATCAATAGTTCACCATCATAGGGCGCTGTTGGTGAAGCTCGTTGCCATACGCTGCTCACCCTTATCATCATCATCATTAGGTTATCATCAAAGGTGCTCGTCATTAGCACCATCATCATCCTTTTGTCATCACAGGGCGCTGTGCGTCATCATCATCATCATCATCGTCATCATCATCATCATCATCGTCATCATCATCGACATCATCGACATCAACATCATCGACATCATCATCATCATCATCATCATCATCATCATCATCATCATCTTCATCATCGACATCATCATCATCATCATCATCATCATCATCATCGACATCATCATCATCGACATCATCATCATCGACATCATCATCATCATCATTATCATCATCATCAATATGTATATCATAGGGCGTTGTTGGTACTGCTCTTCAGTATGGTCAGCATCATCATTCTGTCTTCATTTTCATCATTACTACCATCATCATCATTTTGTCATCATTACATGCTGCTCTTCAATGCATGTTTGCCTTTCACATCAGCAGGTGAGTTCGTCATCACCATCATGCTCATCATCATCATCTTCAGGATGATGTTCATCGTCATCAGCAAATCCAAAAAATAAAAATAAAAATCTCATCTACCTTTCTCCATCATAATTTCCTAAAACTCTTGAGGCTCGTTTTTTCTTTTCTCCACTATTAATTTCTGATTCCCCGTTGGTTGCACTAATGAATTATTTTTGTGCGGGTGGGGGGTTGGGGTTTTAAGGAGGAGAGCTCTACTCCGCAGGGGCTTCACAAGGTGGGGGGTGAAATGCCCTGGAGGGAGTGGGGGCAAATTTTTGGGGGATGCCCTCTTCTGGGGCTGGGAGAGATGTACGGGCTGACATCATATCCCAGCGGAGGCAGATAGGGGTGAGGGGTTGGCTGAGGCATACTTTGGGTGGAACTGAATGCCTTATTGGAAGTAGGGGGAGGAAGCGGGTATGTCCCAAGTTGGAGCCGCTAAGGAGAGCTTGTGATCAGGGCAGTCCTTTTCGGTGGAGGCAGCGGAGGGACATGGGGAGATGGAGGGGAGGGGGAAGAAATAATCCATAGCAACGTCTGGAATTCTGATTCTCCTCTCAAGTGTATACTAATTACTTCTGGTGGGGGGGTGGGTTAGTTTTAAGGGGGAGAGCTCTACTCTGCAGGGGCTTCACAAGGAGGGAGGTAATTGCCCTGAAGGGAGACGGGGCAGATTTTGGGGGATGCTCTATTCTGGGGCTGGGGGAGATGTATAGGTCAGCATCATATCCCAGCGGTGGCAGATAAGGGCAAGGGGTTGGCAGAGGCATACTTTGGGTGAGAACTGGATGCCTTTGTGGGAGTAGGGGGGGAAATGGGTCTGTTCCAAGTTGGGGCTGATGAGGAGTGTTCGTGATCAGGGGCGGTCCTTTTCGGTGGAGGCAGCGGTCGGGCAGGGGGATGAGGGAAAAGAGGGGAATTTCTATATCCTTTGCTTGTATTTGGTTGGGACTCTTTCTGATTCTTTCTGGAATTTTCAAAACAAGCACCCTTGTTATTCCTGGTAGTTTGAAGAATCTCTCAGGACTCTGAGGGACTGCTGATGGTTTGTACGAAGCTGCACTTCAGGATCCGTGGTTGTTCGATGTTAGAACGACCCTGGCCGGAGCCGGGGTGATGCCCTGTGACTTGCCGAAGGTGAGGGCATGAGGTCTTGTAGAGAGATCTGGGGATGCTATGAGGAGGCATCCTAAGGGGCAGCTGGGGATTGCTGACATAGGACGACACTGGTCGGAGCTGGAGTGAGTCACGTTGCTCTGTAACCTAGCGGATAGGTGGCGTGAGGCCTGGATAAGTTTGTCAGAGAATAAGTCAGTTTTGGTGAGCTTTGTTATGATCTGTTGGAAATCCCTTAGATACTTGAGTGTTCGGAGAATTGTGGTGGATGTCAAGAGGTGTTTAGCGATCGTAAAAAAAAATTCGTAATTTTCTCATCATCTATCCTAATTTTCTATAGCTTGTTCATGATCTTGGAGGATACTCCCGAAACCGGGTAATGGCCTCGGTACCTCAATCTGTTCATAAATTGTTTTTACATGTCTTCATATGCAACGCTCGGCCCGATTCCCAGCACGTGCTGCTCCCCACGAATAGATTGGAGCATGTCTTAAAAAAAAAAAAAAAAAAAAAAAATCCCCTAATAAAAATAGAAGTTTTTTATACTGCCCTTTTTTGTTTCTATGCTTCGCTGAAAAGCCACCTTTTCAAAGGGCATGCATACATAAGCGCTGCTGATCAGCAATGTTTTGACAATTTTTTTTTTTTAAAGCAATGTTTTGACTTTCTCTGGGAGTAAGGCTTAGGGGCTCGTTGAACACTCCTCGGGCTCGTAAATCCCCCGAGGAAAATTTCGTTTCCCCTATCCTCAGGGATGAAAACGAAAAAAAAAGTGAAAACATTTCCTTGGGGAATCCTCGGGGCATCCCCAGGCTACAGCCATTTGGTGGCATTCCCCAAGGGACCTCCCGAGGTTCGTTGGAGGTCAAGGATCCACGATAACCGGAGCGGTGAGGGCACCCGTCGTCGGCAAGAAATTTTCGTTGGATGGTCCATTTGAGTTCCTACCGCGCAGCGCACGGACATCTTGGGTCTTTAACGTTCGGCTTCCTGGAACCTTACGCCAACGGTAACCGTTGGTGGCCGACCGGCCCCCGCGGACGTCGTCGACCAGTGTTCTCCCTTGCAGTGCGTGCCGCCAAACGGAAAGGGGTTGAAAGGTCGACAAATTTGAATACTTCAGCCGACCCCCCTTGCTCCGATTGCCCACTGTATTCCGTGACGAAAAACATTACAAGGCGTTTATCCCATGCTGCAGTTTGCCGTTTACTGCCCTTCCCCACTTGCCTTTCATGGCCGACGTCTTTCAAAGGTTGCTGTTGCTGCTCCTGGTCATCCTTTTGCTTGTCCTTGTCGTCTTCTTCCATGTCTGCATTCTCGGTAGGGTGCCTGGACATACATGTTAGAGGCGGTCTGTGAAGAAGGACGTCAGCATGGACGGGCGGCAGGCGAAGAGCAGGTCTTGAGTGGACCACTCCAAAAGCCACCGCGAAGGCAATGGCCCGGCTAGCAGTGCAAGGGCATACGACCCGTTAGAGTGCGTGTGTTGTATGTTGTCCTCTACTGTTTGCTCCCTTCATCGTCGTCGGTCGGTGAACCTTCACCGTCGTCGTAGAATTACGGCCCTGTCCTACGTGTTGTTGATGGTCGACCTTTATTGAAGGTTGCCACTGCTGCTCCTATTCACAATTTTGCTTGTCGTGGTACTCCTGCTCCACGCGTGCTTCCTCTATCGTTGATGGCTGACCTCTATCGAAGACCTCCAGCAGAAAAGACGAGGGATCGACACCGACTGCAGTCAACATCGACATCGGCAGCGCATCCCGCGGGCGTTCGTCCACACTGGATGCAATCGCCATCGCCCGACGACATATGCAGCTTCTCCCATAAGTACTCTGTCACATCATCGCATTGCCCGAGATCCTCTCACGCCCCCCCTCCCCATCCTCCTTTTCATCCACCACCTCGGCGTCGCTCGTGGAAGAACACTGCAACCCATGGCGCAGCAAACCTGAACTGCACCCTCGGTGATGGCCACAGTATCCAGCCCTTCGACCGGGACTTGATAAAGCGTCTTCCTCCTCCGCGCGCAGATCTGCGCTCTTATTCTTCCCAATGCTCTCTCCTGCTGACAACGAAAGAGTGCGGCCGTCTTCTCGATCGTTGTCAACTTCGCACGTCCGTCGTCGCTGCCGCCCTCCATCGGCACGTGTGTTGCAATGCTTAACCATGAAAAATACAACAGCCTACCAACTCGCCATGACCATGGTAACCTCAGCACCAAGTCCCCGACGACGTTCCCTGTGTGTGCTCGACTCAACACATAGGCGCAGCGACATGCAGAGGCGATGGCGATGGACCTTTGCGGGGCGCTCACAAATTTGCGACGACGTACGAGGACTCCACTGCGCCGCTGCAAATGCCCATTTCCACTGTCGCAGATATGAATGCCACCTGCCCCACATCGTCGTCGTGACATCCAGCACCCAATTTCAAATTTGATTTTCAAACGGGGAGGTCCATTGCTTATTAAGGGTTTTTTTTTTCCGGTCGCCAGTGACTTGCAAAATTTCCTGCCTTCGGCAGGTGGACCACACCGTAGCAAGCCGAACATCACCCAATGAACCAAGGCATTGCCCCCCCGGGGCTGACTATAATATTATGAAAATGGCCGCTGGCGGCCAAAAGGAATCATCCTTGGGAGACCACCCCAAGGATAGGTGGAACGACGGCGGGAATTTCCTTCAAAACCCCCAAGGAAACTTTCTTCGGCCCCGATGATGCCCCGAGGAGTGTTTAACGAGCCCCTTACACTGCTGGTGTAAGCGGATCCCATTGGACCTGAAAGAACAGCCGGTTTTTTTTTTGTTTTTCAAGGGGACAATGCTCCGATCTATTCGTGGGGAACAGCTATCATATTTTTTTTTTTTTTTTTTTTTTGTTGAATTTCATGTGTAGGGAAACCCACTTAACGAGGTGATAAGAGCAGGGTTATGACTTTCGATTGTGCTGGGTAGTTAATCCCCTCAGTTGAGGGCAATCAATGCTGCTCATCAGACTAATGGGTGTGCCTACGTGTCGGTTCCGTTCACCGTTCATGTTTATAAGTAGGATGGACACGTGGCATGTTTACATGAGCCCTGTTTGTTTACAGACCACCCACTTCTAAATGTCAAGGGACGCTGGACCCG